GCAAAAAGGAATTAATTTTGATAGCAGACTGTGAAAGTTATTTCTGTGCAAAGTTACAGGTGCTAAAAGTAAGGATATTTGTGGATTATAGGTAATCAATCAGGACTGGTGGGAGGCAGCTGGATGAGGGGGAATGACCGCGTTTGATGAGTGCTATATGCCAGGGTTCGGGCATGGGCAGGCCAGTCACTGGCGGCCTTTTTATTACACAGGCAGTCCTCCGCGACCCGTTTTACAGACGAGAGCACAGAAATGAAAAGTGGTCAAGTAACTTACCCAAAGCTTTGAAACAAGAATGAAAATCAGGACTGGTGGAATCTCCATGACCTCTTTGTTGTACCTGCTGCCCATCAATCTCTGTCCCCAGGGAAAGCAGGTGGGACACCCAGCCACTGCTCCTCACAGCCCACTCGTTTCCCCTCCCTTCCAAGTGGGGGTGAGGGTAATGCCAGCACAGAGCCACAAGTCTTGGTTAACATTTCCTGATGAGATAATTACAGATTTAATGCAGGGTAAGAACTGATACAGAAAGAGCTTGTATCCTTTCAACATGTATGTGTATAGTCGGCTACATAGTGACACTCTCCTGGGTGCTGGCGTCACAGAGACAGGATTGCCTTTGCTCTGGAAGACTTTGGAGGCCAGCGGGGAGCATACAAATACATAACTAATACCTAGTTGGTTAAAGCAAAAAATGTAATGCCATTTCACCTGCCAATTAGCAAGTAACAATAACAGTAATGATATTCTAGCTAAGCTGCTGTGAAAGAGGCACTCCCATATTGCATTGGTAAAAGTGTAAATGGAGGCAAAAGGGAAATCGAGTTGGCAATATGCATGAAATATTTTAATGGCTCTCTCGGCTAATATGTTTTTGAGAGCCTGCTATATGCCAGGCACTGGACTAGATCCATGGGGGAAACGCTGAACAAAGCAGACCCTGTCCAGCCCTTCTGAAACTTACACAGTCACATCTTGTTTACACAGTCATGTCTTGTTCACACAGTCAGATGGTGTGAAGTACTGTGAGGGGCAACGTGGAGGTGTTACAGAAGCACTTGTGAGGGGAGCGGAGGTCAGCCTGGGGTGCTCAGGGAAGGCTGTCCTAGAGGAGAGGCTGGAGGAGGCCCTCCGTCTATTACGTGATGAGGAGGAGTTAGCCAGAGGAAGAGGAGACAGGGTGCATGGAGAAAGAATCCTAAATAGCATGAACAGCCAGCTCCTGGGAAGGATGAGCACCAAATGAGAATGGCCTTAAAAGTCTGGCAAAACTATCTCAAGGAATAACTCAGAATACAAAATAAAAAAACAAAATAACAGACGATTTTCACTACATCATTACTTATAATAGTGAAATATTACAAACTATTTCAATAAAAGAGATTTGGTAAAGTTACTCATGGTACATCCACAATATATAATAATTTGTATCCATTTAATGTAATGTTTGCAAAGTGTTTTTTTAATATTAAAATGCTTATGTTAAAATGTTAAATGAGAAAGACAAGATACATAGTCTCATATCCTACATAACTACAAGCATGTTAAGTGTGTGTGTGTGTGTGTGTGTGTGTGTGTGTGATTAAATGGAAGGAGGCAGGTTCAAATACAAATAGGATTGTCTTCGGGCGATAAGATTGGATTAAAGGTGGGTTTTGTGTATATGCTGTTTATAGCACGATGGTTAGTCTGGAGCAAAAACCAATTCCTTCAGTTACTTTTTGTGTAACCTTGGGCAAGTCACTTAACTTTTGGGTCTCAGTTCCTCCTCTGTGAAATATGAATAATTATAGCACCTGCATGATAGGTTGCTGTAAGCATTATCACAGTACAGTATGTGGGCAGGCTACTATCATTATTGTATCAATTATCAGCATTCTGTTATATTTAAAATGTTCCTGTAATGTACTTATATAACTATTATAATGAAAAACATTTTACATCACTCTGTTAAAATAAGGGACTTGTATTGTATTAAGTTAGTAGTATGTGTTTTCAAGGAGAAACTGGGAAAGGGCAGCTTACCCATCTTGAGAAGGATCCCTGAGAGAGGAAGATGCTGTCTCAGCTGACTTTCAAGAACAAGAACTTAAGAGAATTCAAGACAAATGGGACAGTAAGCAAAAATTTAGAAACTTGGTGATTTCAAGCCAGAAAGGGCTTATAGGTCATCCAGCCCATCTTCCCACCCATGAAGGTTCCCCTCTAGAGCAGCCCTATGGAGTCTCCCCGGCACTCAGAGAGGAGGAGCTCACCGCTGTTTGCACAAACCCGTCCATGGCCGGGCAGTTCTTTGTCACAAAGTGTTTCCACATATGGACCCTCACCTACCACTGCCCTTACGTACAGACACCCCAGAGCAAAACCCAAGCAACAAGTCCACACCAACAGATGCCTGGGGCTGTGAGAGTCTCCTCGGTGTGCTCATCAAAGCAACATTCCCCACTCAGCAGCACAGTCCTGGAGCTGGAGCGTGGCTTTGAGATGCTCGACAAACATCACTCACTCCATTGTTTTCAAGTGCACAAGGCACAGTGTGTTGAAAGTTTAGGTACAAAGTATTGTATGATGGCAATGGAAAGAGAGAACATTAAAAATATGAAAATAATGATCCTTTCCTCTTTATAATAGTACTAGAGGCCCAAAGCACGAAATTCGTGCAAGGGGCTCGGCCCTCACAGCCCCGGATTCGTCCAGAAGGTCATCTGGATGGTCGTTCTGCTGTTCAATCTAATTAGCATATTATCTCTTTATTATACAGGATAATTGATTCTGAAGGAAATAATGAATTTAGGTAACATATGAAAACATCTGTGACAGCAGCTGGCATAATGTAAAGAAGAGATGGAACTGGAAAAACTGTTAAGTGTGTGGCTAGAGAAACATCCATATCGTATGCCCTCAGGAGAACACGGGAAATACACTGAGGAACTTGAAGGCCAGTCCTGAGAGGCTTTATTTGAAGCCTGTAGGTCTGAGCCCTATTGGAAGCTAAACAGCATCAGCAAATGTTATACTAGCAGGTACAGACCCTGCGGTAACTGTCACCTGCCCCAACACCTTTGAAGAATAGTTACAGCTGAACTACATGGTAAAGTTAGCACTACAAACCAGCGAGAGGAAAATAGGTTATTCAATTAATGTGTTGAGCCCTCTGGATTAAAAAAAAAAAAAAAAAAAAGCTGAAAAATAAAGTTGGGTCTCTATTTCACTCTTTACATCAAAATTAATTCCTGATGGATCAAATCCTTAACTGTGAAAAATGAAACCATAAGAAGAAATGTTTTAAAGAATTAGAGAAGTGAAAACACTTCCAGCCTGATGTACACCCAGAACTCATAAAATAAACTCAGAAAGAAATATATTTGTAGTTCCTATCACAGGCAAAAGGTCTGTTTTCATGATATATGAAGCTCTCCGAAAAATCAATAAGAAAATACCAACAACTCAATGGGAAATAGAAAAATACAACAACTTTTAATCACATGAAAAGATGTTCAAATGCATTCATAAGAGAAACATAAAATAAGCCCACACATTTTTCACCCGTGAAATAGGAGGGGCTCATGAAATGCAATAATACACTCTCAGATATTGATGGTGAGTTGTAAATTAGTAAACTTTTATGATGGAAACTTGGCATTACCAGTCAATATTACACCTGTGAGGTTTTTAGTAATTCCACCTCCAACAATTTATCCTTCATATATCTTAATATGTATGAAGCAATGCATGTGTAAGGTTATTCATTGCGCCATTGTTTACGAGAGCAAAGGTAGAATGTCTATCCCTACCAGACTACCAAGTAGATATTTTCAAAATGAGGCAGATATTTATGTTCAGACATAAAACACCTCTAAGACATGTGGTTAATTGGAAAGATCAAAGTGTATTGCACACTGTGATTTGTGTTCACAATAGAGAGCTATTCAGATGACAGATGGAGATAGGTTTTTCCTTGTGTGTGTTCAGAAGATGTCTTGAAGGCTAACCAGAAAGCACTCACAGTGGTTGCCTCCTCAGAGACCCACTTGATAGCTGTAAGTCCGTGTTGAGATACATTTTTTACCATAATGCATCTTTGTACCTTTTGTACCGCATGTATTAGCTAACCAAAATAAAATGAATTTACAAACAAATTCCCTGCTCAGAGCAAATCCCTTGCTCAGATTTGACACCCCGATCTTTTTTCTTGCTTTTTTATTGTGTTTGCAGATTTAGATGGCTTATAAAACTTCTGGATTTAAAAAAAAAAAAAAAAAAAAAAAAAGCTGAAAAATAAAGTTGGGTCTCTCAAACTTGAGGGCTGCAATTGTGTCTCCACAGCTAGCACAGTGCCTTACATATGAAAAGACTTAAAAAAAAAAAAAAAAAAAAAAAAAAAAAGGTGATGTCTTGAAGAGTGATGGAGACTTTTTTCTTGGAAGGAAGTCTAGGCCACTGTCACATACGGCCTAATACAGCAGCCAGCAGGCCTGCAAGGCCCAAGAACATCTACCCACCAGTCCTGGGATTCTACCTTTAAGAGGAGGGAGGGTAAGAAAGAGACAGAGACAAAGAACAGAAACTGAGCTACATTCTATAGCTCACTCAGAGGATGTCATCTCAGCATAGGCACTCCCAGCACTTCCTAAGGGAAGGCCTGATGGGTGGCCCACATTTTTATGAGCAAGAGTCTCTGCCACTTTCTGATTATCTACAGACTTAAGGCCACATAATCACCCCCTGCGTCACGGAGTGGAGGGACACACGGGGAGGAAACAGACTAAGGATCTAAATCCCTTCTAAGACTTGCTTCTTCCTTTCTCAGCAAGATTAGAGCTGGCAGCAGCCATCTGCCTATGCGTTCAGACCCAGCAGCCTGAGGGCAGCATCTGGGACCCTAGTCTGTGCTCCTAGGTGTCAAGGGCATACTATCCATCCGCCTCGTTTGCAGTGAGCACGCTGGGGACCCTACCACAGGCACGAAGGAAAAGCCAAGGGGCCCGCTTCCTGCAGCCATGCTGAAAAACAGTGAGCGGAGGCGCTCCTGGAGCTACAGGCCCTGGACTAGCACGGAGGGCACCGAGGCTCCGGATGCAGGGAACAGCCAACACCACCGCGGCAGCGTCTGCTCCCTGGCGGCCCGGTCCGGCTCCCAGGCCAGCATCCCGACGTGGACGGAGGGCAACTACAACTACTATATCGAGGAGGACGAGGATGGGGAGGAGGAGGAAGAGGAGGAGGAGGAGCAGCAGTGGAGAGACGAACTGGCCCACTTGGCCGACCTGGACCTGGCCCACTTGGCCGACCTGGCCGAGGAAGACCAGCAGCCCGAGGAGGCCACCGCCACCGCCACCACCACCACCACGGCCCAGCCAGAAAGCGGCGACAGCAGCGAGGGCTGCACACTGCTGCTCCTGAACGTGGGCGGCCAGAGCTACCGCCTGGCCTGCGCGCAGCTGGCCTGCTACCCCAAGACGCGCCTGGGCCGCCTGGCCGCCTGCCCGGGCCCGCGCGGCCGCCAGCTGGGCCTGTGCGACGACTACGAGGCCGCCACGGGCGAGCACTTCTTTGACCGCGACCCGGCCGTCTTCCAGCTGGTGTACACCTTCCACCTGCGCGGCGTGCTGCTGGTGTGCGACGCGCTGTGCCCGCGCGGCTTCCTGGAGGAGCTGGGCTACTGGGGCGTGCGGCTCCGGCACACGCCGCGCTGCTGCCGCATCTGCTTCGAGGAGCGGCGCGACGAGCTGCGCGAGCAGCTGAAGGTGCAGCGCGAGCTGCGGGCACAGGCGCGGGCGGAGGAGGCCGCGCGGCTGTTCCGCGACGCGCGCTGCTGCGGCCCGCAGCGCCAGCGCCTGTGGGACCTCATGGAGAAGCCCTTCTCGTCCGCCGCCGCCAAGGCCGTCGGCGTGGCCTCCAGCCTCTTCGTGCTCGTGTCCATCGTGGCGCTGGCGCTCAACACGGTGGAGGAGATGCACCACCAGCAGCACCCCCGGCGGCGGCGGGGGGCCGGGGCCGGGGCTGAGGGCGGCGGCCGCTGGGCGGCCCTGGAGCACGTGGAGGCGCTGTGCATCGCCTTCTTCACGCTCGAGTTCCTGCTGCGCCTCGCCTCCACGCCCGACCTGCGCAGCTTCGCGCGCAGCGCCCTCAACCTGGTGGACCTGGTGGCCATCCTGCCGCTCTACCTGCAGCTGCTGCTCGAGCGCTTCGCCGGCGACGAGGAGGACCCGCGGCGGCGCGGCAAGGTGGGCGCCTCCGCGCGGGAGCACGACCTGGAGACGGTGGGCAGGGTGGGCCAGGTGCTGCGCGTCATGCGCCTCATGCGCGTCTTCCGCATCCTCAAGCTGGCGCGCCACTCCACCGGCCTGCGCGCCTTCGGCTTCACCCTGCGCCAGTGCTACCAGCAGGTGGGCTGCCTGCTGCTCTTCATCGCCATGGGCATCTTCTCCTTCTCCGCCGCCGTCTACTCCGTGGAGCACGACGTGCCCGGCACCAACTTCACCAGCATCCCGCACGCCTGGTGGTGGGCCGCGGTGAGTGCCCTCCTCATGGCCCTCCCAGGCCTTGGCGCTCAGCCGCCTGTCTGCCATCCCCTGCTCTTCCCCTTTGCCTCATGGCTGCCTCCAGCTAACAAAAAGCAGAGATGGCCGAAACCAGTTTGGCTTAGTGGATAGATAGAGCCTCGGCCTGCGGACTGAAAGATCCCCAGGTTCGATTGTGGTCAAGGGCATGTACTTTGGTTGCGGGCACATCCCCAGTAGGGGGTGTGCAAGAGGCAGGTGATGATTCTCTCTCATCGATGTTTCTAACTCTCTACCCCTCTCTCTTCCTCTCTGTAAAAAAAAAATCAATTATATATATATAGTTTTTTGTTTTGTTTTTTAAAGCAGAGATGGGTTGTAGAGGGTTGAAAAGACAGAAATAATGTATAGTCCAGTAAGAAACTGAATTTGACTTGGCGGTAGGAATCTCCAACTCTAGATTTACTTCTCATACCCTGACCAGGCAGATTTTGAAGAATTCACTGTGGATGTTTGTGGGAAGCTTCCTGATCACCATTCTTTTTTTTTTTTTTTTAATATATATATATTTTATTGATTTTGTACAGAGAGGAAGGGAGAGAGATAGAGAGTTAGAAACATCAGTGAGAGAGAGACATTGATCAGCTGCCTCTTGCACACCCCCTACTGGGGATATGCCCGCAACCAAGGTACATGCCCTTGACCGGAATCGAACCTGGGACCCTTCAGTCCCCAAGCCAACGCTCTATCCATTGAGCCAAACCGGGGTGTGTGTGTGTGTGTGTGTGTGTGTGTGTGTGTGTGTGTGTGTGTGTGAGTGTGTGTGTGTGTGTGTGTGTGTGTGAGTGAAGGAAACTGAGAGGAAGTGAGACTTGGCTGAACATGGTCACCTTAACTGAAATCTCATTGGTTCTAAACTAAATGAGTAAAGGAGCATCTGAAACTGAAACTTGCTCCAGTGTCACGGAAACTCTTTTAGGACCTGAAATGGTTCCCTCATTTTATAGAGAGAGGAACTGAGGTGCGAGAGTTTGAATGCAGACTCACAGCCAAATCCAGAGAGAGAGGACTGAAGCCCAAACCGGTCCAAGTGCAAGACCCATGCCCGGCCACACCCAGCACCGCCTCTCCCGTGCTTTAGCTTGTCTGCAGGCCAGGAACAGTGGATATACTAGCTACTTTTGTCACTTCTTTCCATGACATATTTGCCTTTTCATAACCATTCATGCCATCTACTCTCATATCTATGTTTCCGGGATGCTAGACGAAATCCCTGAAAAATCCCTAAAAGTCTTAGAAATGCTGATTGGGTCTTCTCGGGGCAATGAGTAAGCTGGCATGTGTGCATAGGAAAGAACTAGGTATATGGTTTCCATATTTTCTTGTTGTTGACACTATCACAGATGCCTCCCATCCCCCCCCCTTTGCCCACCTACACCCAGCCCCCCCTCCCCCCCAGTTTTCTCCACACTGTTGGCTGTATCCATGGGCTATGCATCTATGTTCTTTAGCCCCTCTCTTCACCTCCTTTTATCCAGACCCCCCCCACTCTCCTCCCTCTGATACCTGTCAGCCTGTTCCTTGTATTTTTTTAAAGTAGATTATGATAATGCCTTTAAAGACATTAAGCAAATATAACAAGTTTTTCTAGAAAGTCAGTATTTTCAACCTTAACATTGGGCATGTCGGAACCCAAAGCCTTGGGTGAACTTCTGAGATGAGCCAACCCAGGGCTACTAACAATGTAGTGTGGTGGAATGGAAGGAAGATTTCTGTTTCGATTCTTATAACAGTTCTGGTACTAATTGCCTGTGACCCTAAGTAATGAGCTGTGAAACCTCACTCCCTCACGGCCACCCTCAGTGTCCTCGGCTCTACAAGGGGAGGACAGAGAGCTCAGATGCCCAACAGGACTTGTGAGCTTTCCTCAGTGAGGCTCTTCCAAACAAGCTACCCAAATGCCACCCTTCTGATCATATCCAAATGACGAAAGGTCATCTCCATGGCAGGTAAGCTATATGTACAGATGGAGCTGATAGAGAGTGATTTTTCCCCAGCAAGTGACATTTACTTTGGAGGCGAGTAAGGTAGGAAGGGAAAAGAGCAAATCCACCTGCTGATGATATAATTCCCTATTTTAGAGAGCCAACTTCTCACTCATTCAAATATCTTAGAAGACTCTCATATATATGCTGGACCTAGTGGACACTTTAATATTTTAATTTTAACCCACAAAACTTTTTTTTAACCTTTTGTATATTAACAGAAAGATTTTTATAAAAATTTTGTCGCCAATACTGGGTTTTCCTTTTTAAAAAATTCCCTGAAGTGAATGCCCTTTGACCCCATTTAATTTCTTGATTGGCATAATAAACAATGACATTAAAAACTTTCTAATGATCCCCTTTTATGTTAGCTGAAATTATTTTACTCAAGACCAGTATTTTCCATAAATTTAACAAAAATTGAATCAACATCCAGGTTTTATCTACAATAAATGTTATCAATGGTTGCTTTTACCAATATGAGTTTTCTCTTGTAGCCTTTATCTCTAGCAGGCACTATTTTCACAAACCAAAATTTGTACCTTTCAACCTTATCATTTCCCGACGTTAGCCTTTATTCATAAATTCTAAATCACTTATTATCACAATAATATTGCTTCACAAACCACCCCAAAACTTAATGGCTTAAAAAGCCAAGCATATCTTTAGCTAATGAGTTTGGGAGTCATCAATTTAGGCTGGCTTCAACTAGAATGTTCTTCTCATTTGGCCTCATATTTGATAGTCAGCTGGCTGACAGCTAGAATGAAGGAGGAGACTAGGCTAGGTAGCTTTCATTCTCCAGCAAACATGTATCCATGGCCAAGGATGAGAAAAAGAGAGAGAAAGAAAAAGTCTAATCATGCAAGTACCATATAAGATTCTTTCTTTTTTTTATTGATTAAGGTATTACATATGTGCCCTTCTTCCCCCATTGCCCCCCACCCCACTCCAGTTTATGCCCTCATTCCCCTGGGATCTGTGTCCATTGGTTTTCTTTAATGGCATTTGCTCAACCCAAAGCAAGTCACAAGACCAAACTCAGAGTCAAAGGGCAGGGTAGGTTAATCCACCCACTAGAGATAAGCTCTATAAAGTTATAGGCAAAGAGCTTGGATAAAGGAAGATATAAAGAATTAGTTTCAGAAGCACAATCATTCCACTGCAGTAAGATATTCCTGCTCAAATATATTATGCACATCAGAAAACACACATTCACACTCTGAAATTTCAAGGATGAGGTAAAGAATGATAGGCCTGGTATTTTCTTCCACCACTCCAGTGCTATATCCCTTGTAGTATATTCACCCACATTAGTTTCTCTAATCCATTCTTCTGTTTTTAGTGCTTCCAGACAACCCCAAATATGAATTTCTTTTAATAATCTTCCCTCACTCTCTGCCAAAGACCTTCCTCTGCTTAACTCAGGGTTTTAAGATGAATACAATAATTTTCATTGCTGTGAATTCTCCTACAGCTGCAAAACAAATCCCACAAGGACACTCATGTCTGCAAACACTCATGTATTTGGATATAAAATAGAACCCGTCCCACTCAGCTGTCAAATGGCGGTTATTTGTAAGCGCTAATGTAATAGGAAACATATGTAAGATGCTAGCCTGTAGTACATCCACAATAAATAGAAGCTACCATACTTGACTAGTTAATAGTCTTTATCACATGGAAGCAATAACCTTTGCTTCCAGATTCATTTGGGGAGAAATAAAACAGATTCCTTCTCTACTGGGGAGTTGGACTGTGGGACATACAAAAGGGTCAGCTGTCCTATCTCGGGACAGCTTCTGGGTGTTTAGATGAAGAGGCCCGGGTTTACTGAGCTCTCAGGGTTGCCTGGTGTGGGAAATACGTGGCACAGCTCAACCAGAACAATGAGCTCTATGACGGAGCTGTACTCATTGGCCTCCAGCGTGACTCTGTTTTCACGTAGAAAAGGGCAAATAGGCCATTCAACAAACCATTTCCTTCTGAGCTTTCAGAGCAAGTTAAAACTGTGGAAACCAAACAGGAAACTATGTCATGAACTTATTCCTCCAGAAGCTAACAGAGGCTCTTCAAAAAGAAAGTGCACCTCTGGCTGAGGCACCTGATAATTGAGCCTCAGAGACCTTGCTCCTCTCTTTGGTTTCCTAAAGCATGATATCATTTCCTCGCAAATGGGTGTGCTTATGAGATCATGGAGATTTTTTTATTTTTTATTTTTTTAATCTTTGTTGATTTTTAGAGAGAGAAGAAGGGAGAGAGAGAGAGAGAGAGAGAGAGAGAGAGAGAGAGAGAGAGAGAGAGAGAGAGAAACATCAATCTGTTGTTCCACTTATTTATGCATTCTTTGGTTGGTTCTTGTCTGGGAATCAAACCTGCAACCTTGGCATATTGGGATGACACTCTCACCAAACGAGCTGCCCAGTCAGGGCACTATATTATATATTGTTATTGATGGATTGCATGCATTGAGGAGAACCATTTGGAAGGTGAATCAGTGAAGATATAGTCAGAAAAACAGTGTATTTTAAACAGGAAATTTGATGCAGGGAAATAGATACATAGGTGCTAGAGGGCTAGAAGCAAAAAGAGTAAACTGGAATAACCCAAAGATTGGTAAATGTAGGAAATAGCTGTCAGCCCTAGAACTGGGGGAACAAACAGGAGAAGGGAGAATTACCAACCACAGCATACAGAGGAGGAGCCTCTGAGTAGATGTTGCAGGGACCCCAGAGATAGCACCATGAGGCTGATGCCGAGTGTGCTGAAAGACAACTGGGCCATAGATAGCTGCTATTATTGGAGGGTAATGACAGAAGCAGAAGCAGCCATAGAGACTCCCATCTCCTCATCGCACCTTCCAGCCTCCCAACAGTGTCTCTCATTGGCAGAACACAACCAGAAGACAGTGGGCAAGGAAATTCAGAGATTGTAGTTTGCGAACCCCCAGCTGCAGAATTATAAAATATAGCACAGAAGGATGTCAGGCTTGGGACTGAGAGAAACAACTAAATGTCTGGCCCAGCAGGCAATTCATGTTCTAGCTCCTTCAGAACTCAGGAACTGTCAATGGACAAAGGCTGCTGGGCACCTTTATGACTTTTAATCTTGTGGTCTCCTGATTTGGGGGCGGTCCCCTTCTATCTCTTTAAACTATGCTTTTCCTGTTTGACCATCATGACTTGCCTGGGAAGGACATGGCAGAATTGGAGAGGGCAGGGAGAAGTGCCGGGTAAGCTGAAGATGCAGAGGGCATCGTGTTATTATGTACCTTTCTAGGAGTAGATTAATAGACTCCCAAACTTGCTTTAGCTTTTGCACACCTCCTCCTTATTGTGCAATTTATGTCCGTGTCAGACCGATAATATAGAGATGAGCTGGTGGTTCTCTTCCAGGTGGTCACCTATGACGTGATTGTAACAGTGCTTCTGCTGGTCAGAGCAGTCTTTGAATTTCACTGAAGAACAATCTTCAGAGTCTGTGACACGTCCATTTGCTTCATTCTAATCATGCTTAATCTTTACCTTTTTGAGAGTAGATTCGATATTTTAAAATGGTCTAGACCCTTGAGTTTAATATTAGCATCTAAAGTTAACCCTCAAGGTGAGGCCATCAGATAACTGTTCTCTAATTGTGGCCCAATAAGGCCACTTGTTTCAAGGTCATTCCACTGAATCCTCTGGGCAGATTATAATCCCAAAGAGGAATTCCTAAAATATTTGTAGCAACAGTGGCGTGGGTTGGCTAAGTATAGCCTTTAAAGCTAAATCTTTTGAAAGACTGAGGTATGTAATGATTTTAGTCAGAACATGTTAAATGTTTTTTGGAAAAAATAGAAGGGATGTTAATTATTTTTTAAAATCAGTTTTATTCATTGGGATCATAATTCCAAGATTCATGGAGTACTGGCTGCCAAAGTTTTATACATGCCTAGTTCATGATGAAAGAAACATTTCTTGTTGAAAGAGAAATTCAAGTATAGCCATTCTACAGCTTTGGAGAAAAATTGGATGCTTATCCTTCTTGTAATGTCTAACAGGCCAAGATTTGCTGATTAGTGGGTGAGCAGCTAGGGGAGAGTCACATTCAGGCTTTTGGGACCCAAAGGCTAGGGAAAATATGTAAGTTTTCAATGGAATGGTACATTTCCAGTTTATAGAATGGCTGAGCCAACCCAATTCAGGATATTAAGATGGATTATAGAACATATTACAAACTGGATGAACCTCAAAAACATTAGGCTGAGTGAAAGAAGCCAGATAAAATTTCCAGAAGAGGCAAATCTACAAAGAAGGCAAGTAGATTAGTGGTTACGTGGGACTGGGGATGGGAATTCAGAGTAGTGACAGATGGGAACAAGGGATGCTTTGAGGTGATGGAAATGTTCTAAAGTTGGATTTTAGTGTTGACTGCTCAACTCTGTAAATTCACTAAAAATCATTTTACTGCACCCTTGAAACAAGTGAATTTCATATCATGCAAATTATATCTCAATAAAGCTGCTGTTGGATTTTGTGTGTGTGTGTGTTTTTTTTAATGGATCGTAAAAATGTTGGCCACATTTCCAAACCCAATTCGTGCTAATGAGAGAATTCAATCTGCAAACTCATATGGGTCGGCCTGGGGCCTTCAATGTTTAATGCTCATCCAGGGAGAAGTGGCTTGGCCTATGGAACATGGAGGGAAAGTAACCTAAAGCCAAGGAATCCCAAGTTCCTCTTGGAGCCAAGGAGCATGCAGATCATGGGTTGAGTTAAATTATCCACAAACCCGACAAGGCATAAATTAGCTATGCATTTTGAACAAATTCTTCCACACCCATCATACAGAGCCCCCTAGCAGGAGAGAGCTTTTCTCTAAAAACAAGAGATCCAAGATACGCAAAGATACTTAGACCATATTATGCACATCAAATATTTAATCTTTCTTAAGCCAATTCGCCTTGCTTTTTAGCTTTTCATTGAAAGTTCAGCCAAAAAATAAAAAAGAAAGAAATGAAGTTGCTTTGGAAGTGAAGCAAGGCCAGTATCAGGATTGATCAGAAGTTTGAAAAGCCACTTTGTCTCATTTCTTCTCCTTCCTCTGCATCCTATTCCTCCCCCCCTCTTCCCCAATCCTGCACCATTGAAGGAATGGTTCACCCAAAAGCCTCAGCTTTGGCCTGTCCTGGGAGCTTCCTGTTCTAACTCTACCCTTCCTGTCCCTCACCCTTATTATCCAAACTCCCCTTAGGCCTCCTCCAGGCAATGGAGACTAACCAAACATCCATACAGAGTGTGAGTGATGCTATTACTGACATGTGTTCAGTTCTGACAGAGATCTATCTGACTCAGGTTGCTTTACTTTTGCTGTGGCCAGTGGCAGGAAACACACACACACACACACACACACACACACACACACACACACGCACAAGCATACTTGGAGATTAACCCACACTCTCAATTAATCCTGGCCTCTCGTCACCATGATCAACTGAAAGTAGGAAAAGGAAATTCCGTCCTGGAGCGAGTGTGTGCCCCAGCCAGTCTCCCTCAGAGCATTCTGCAAGAGCCAAGAGGGACCTGCTTCCCCAGCCTATCAGTCTAATAAGCTTAAGAACTAACATTATCACTCACACACCCTGCATCGGGCACTCCTTCAATTCCCACAACTACTCTGTGAGGTAGTGTTATTCTCCTCTCATTTCAAAAGTGGCAATGGAGGCAGAGACAATAGAGGTGACTTGCCCAAGTCACACATCTGAGAAGTGGATTCAGATCCAAATAGCCTAGTGCCATGCTTGTCTCCTTAACCTAGTCTACACCATTCTGCCTCTCCTAGATGCTTGCTTGTCTTCTTCCACCTGAGGAAGGACAGTCCATCCCTCAGCAGGTCTCTCACCATGGATGGAGCAGTGAGAGGTGGTGGGTCCCCCGCCCCAAAGGGGTAGATGCCAGCTTTCTTTTAAGGCTGGATAGAGCACCTGTTCTTATCGGCTCCATCAGATTTGCCCGGCTGGCTCAATTCTTCATTTCATTCTACCTAACCAATCACACTCAGTCTAAGTTCAAACTAGCCCTTACATTATAAGCAAATAATAATAAAGTTTGAATTTCTAAAGTAAAGGCCATTTGGGTACAGGGCAACAAGATGACTTCGCACATTTTACTGCCACCTGCTGGGAAATTGTGGCAACACCACAAACCCATGAAGCACACAGTGCCCCCTGGAGTTGTGCAATGCCCAGTGTTTACAACGGAGGCAGCAGCCCTGCCTCATGTAGCCAATACTCTGGGGATAAAGGCAGTCTTAGTACATGAGGCATAGGAAACAATTCCCGAGAGCTTTTCCTAGGTTTCTCTCTCACTAACCTGACATAACTAGTTCCATGGATCTGCATGTTACACGGAAGCTTCTCAACCTAAATAAATCTCTACTTAGCGGAATCTAAAGCCTGGTGATGAGAGTTTGGGAAGAATTTCATGCAGAGTGAACTATCTTTGGTTGGTGATGTCTTTAAAAAAAAAATCCCTCCACAACATAATGAGAATATGTTCCTCCAAGCATTTGCAAGTAAAGCACCTTTATATAAAATAACTCATTAGGATGACATAATTCTGAAAGGTGTTATAATTGTCTCCATTTTAAAGATGAGAGAAGGACCACAGAAGAGATTGGTTAGTGCCTTTTGTGTGCCTGACACTGTGTTAAGCGCTTGATATTTGTTTTCTCAATTAGTCTTTACACGGATCCTGAGAGTTAGGTAATATCCTCCCGTTTCAGGGGAAGGAGCCAAGGGATAAAACTATGAATGTTTTATCCCAGGACATTCTGCTGGGAAGGGTCAGATTCAGGACTTGAACCCAAGTCTGATCCTAAGCCTGAGCTCTTTTCAGTATGTGTATCATTTAGGCAAACTCAGGGCCCCAGTGCTAAAACTGGCCCTGGCTGAGGTGGGGGGGCAAAGCCCAACATTGATTGAGCCCTTGCTACATCAGGGACTTTATACACAGTGTCTTATATGCTCTTCACAACACCCGTTACAGTAGATATTCTCTCTCCTGCAATCCTACCATTGCAACAGCATGGATGGACCTGGAGTGCATTATGCTAAGTGAAATAAGTCAGTCAGAAAAAGATAAGTATCACATGATCTCTCTCATTTGTGGAATATAATTAACAACATAAACTGATGAACAAAAACAGTTCCAGAGACAGAGAAACATCGATCAGATCATCAAACCTTGGAGGGAAGGTACGGGTGGGGGGGGGGGGGGAGGGGAGAGATCAACCAAAGGACTTGTATTCATGCTTATAAGCCTAACCAATGGACACAGACACCAGGGGGGTGAGTGGTGGTGGGTGGGTGAGGGAATAATGGGGGAATAAGGACACATGTAACACCGTAATTAATAATTAAAAAAAAAAAAAAAGAACATTTAGAAGTGGCAGTCAGGATTTAAACCCAAGTCTTGCAGCCCCAAAGCTTGTGTTCTTTCCATGACAGGGGACCTGCAGGCAAATGTCCTGGTACCTCCTAGCACTGGCTTTGTGGGGCGCTCTTACATGACTCATGTGTACCTTCAGGGAGACAGATCACTCCCTGCCGGTTCCATCCCCTTCTCCTCCTCCCTCATGGAGCTAACAACTCACCCTGCCTTTCTTCCCATGCAGGTGAGCATCTCCACAGTGGGCTACGGAGACATGTACCCAGAGACCCACCTGGGCAGGCTCTTTGCCTTCCTCTGCATCGCTTTTGGGATTATCCTCAATGGGATGCCGATCTCCATCCTCTACAACAAATTCTCCGATTACTACAGCAAGCTCAAGGCTTATGAGTACACTGCCATGCGACGGGAAAGGGGAAAGGTGGACTTCGTGCAGCGAGCCAGGAAAAAGATGGCTGAGTGCTTGGCTAAAAGCAACCCACAGCCCACCCCACAGCAAGAGAATTAATGTCCCATAGGCCACATGGCTGATAGGTCCTATGACCTTCAAGGCTTCCTTCCTTTTCCCTTTTTTTTTTTTTTTTTTTTTTTTTTTTTTTTTTTTTTATCATCAGGGTTTCCCATGAAAGGGCACATGAGGCAGACATACACAAGGGCATTCCATTCACAGAATTCTACTTCATGAATGTTTGCTTGAACCCAGCCTCAGATGGCCCCATATTGTGTTGTTTTAGAGTCTGGTCATCCCAATGACATTGATAGAATTCATTGGGAAGAGTGACATCTTAGCTTTTTCTTGTAGCTTCTCGTGGCTTCTCAATAAATATTTTTTGCACTTGAGTTGACTTGAGAAGAATTTCCTTTCATTGAAGAAAGGAAATCCTTGATTTTCCAGAGAGAGGGGATGTTGCATCTGAACTATTTGGGCCCTAGTGTTAGACCAATCTCAGTCAGAAGCCCGGATCTACCAGCTGTAGGATTTGGGACAAGTTTCTTTAACTGAGCCTCAGTTTCTTCAACTGTGAAGTGTAGGTAATAAGAAACCACCTTGTAGTATGCGCATGGAAGAGGGTAATACTTGTAAATGCTCAATAAATAGAAGCTGTTAAAAATGTTTGAGTTAGGGTATTGTATAGTAGATTCTCTAGACTGATGGTTCTCAATTCAGAGAGATATGATTTTGTCCACCCCCTAGGGGTAGAAACATGGCATTTTCTAGAGATGCTTCTGGCTGTCACTATTGTGAGGAAGGATGAGGGGGCTCTGGCATCTAGTAAGTAGAGACGTGGGATGCTGCTAAATATGGACAGGACAGCCGCATAGCAGAGGATTATCTGACCTAAAACATCGACAGAGCCAACACTGAGAAACCCTGGTCTGTGTTTAACATGAGAGCTTCTAGACTCAACCCGTGAAACATGCTCAAGTGTGCTAATCTCTTCTCTTTCGATAGCAGCCCCCACATGTCCCCACCTCTCTAGGCCCCTTTTTCCTCACCTTTCAACAAGCAAACCAAAAATCTCTGCCTCTGGGGACTATTCTGGACTGAGCACTGAACAACATGAATTAGATCGATGTGGCTCGCTCTGTGGGTCAGAAAACCAGCTCTCTCTCTCCCCGCCCCCTTTCCCCCCTAATTTCTTGTTTTCCATAGGACTGCTGGGAACTGAAGTCCTGGGAATTAAAGCGTGTTTGAACTGAGCAAGCGGAGATTGGCCCAATAATGAGAAGCTTTGCTATGCTGACCATCCAGTGTGTCTCAGGCATGACTAGACCCAGCATGCTCGTGTCGTAAAAACAATGGTTTGGTGTGTCTTACAATTACAGGCACAAACACAGATTGTATTTTACAACATAGGACCTCATTTTGTCTTTGACATATCCCTAAATTAGGCGTTACCTTGTTTTTTATTTAGGAAGAAACAGCTCAGAGAGGTTAAGTAATTCAGCCAAGTTGGCACAGTCCGTGGATAGTGAGGCCGAGCTTCCAGCCTGGTCTGTCTGATGCCTAAGGCCCTTGCCCGAAGTCTAAACGTGTGGTTCTCAAGCTGCATCAGCATCCTCTGGGGGCTTATTAATCACAGATCCCTGGGCCCACCGCAGAGTCTTTGCTTCAGTAGGTCTGGGTGACACCCGAGGGTTTGTACTTCCACCAAGTACGAGGTTATGCTGGTGCTGCTGGTCCAGGGACCACATCCTGAGAACCGTGGTCTAAATCACCTCGCTTTGAATGCAAAACTAGGACGCCACTGGGAAAACCCCAAATGCCCTTAATCTCATCACAACTGCCCTTAACCCCATCCCAACTGACCTGGCATCTGATGGATGGACAGAAACCCCACTGTTTATGGGAAGGTCACTAGTTAAAATACAGAATGCTCAAGTAAATTTGAATTCCAGATAAGTTAATAATGTTTGGATGTATGTCCCAAGTATTGCATGATATATACTTCTACTAAAAAAGAAAAAAAAAATTATCTCCTGCTTCTCTGCAATTCAGATTTAAGTGGGCATCCTCCGTTTCCATTTGCCAGACCTAGCAACCCTGTACTATTGCTTCTGGGAGACAAAGCTTCCTCCTATGGAAGGAAATTACCCACAAATCCTAAAAACCCACCTACACAGCAGGACCCTCCACCAAAGGGACTTCTCTCCCTCTTGCCAAATAAGAGGGAGGAATTTTGCATCGGGCTCCTTGCCAGAAGGAACCATGGAAACAGAGTTCCAACAGGCAGGAGGTCGGAACACAGTTTATGTGACCACCTGCCATGCTCAGGGCAGCAGCTGCCTCTGAAGGACATGGAACAGGAAGGACTGATGTTCATCGCCCCTCCCCCTGCTGGATGCCCCGCCAGAATGATCCTGAGGAGCCCAGCAGAGGCGACTCCCTGAGAGAGAGGGGTGGGGGTGCAGGAGGTCTTGGTCAGGAAGATGAACTTTTGCAGGTCCCTGGGAGGGGATCTGGTAAATGACAGCAGCCCCCACCTCCCAATCTCACTAGCCACATCTGTTTGAACAGCTGTGCTCTGCCTCCCAAGAGAATGAGATAGACAGACAGGAGGGAATGAAGTGAAAAACCAAAACCCCAGCATTCCATAAGCCCCACTGTGTGCCACGTTGAACTTGACATGACTTTTGGGATCTAGATTTGAAACCTGGCTCTGCTGTGTATTGTGATGTTGAAGCATGTGAAACTGCCATTTTCAAAAAGAAAACAACTGAATATTGGTGATGTCATACAGGGAAACTTAACATTGCATGGTCCCTTAATTTCTTCAAGCCTGTTTCTGCATCCTTAAAATGGAGATAAAATCTGTAGCGTACTGTTCAGCTCGCATTAATTAAAATCTGTAGCGTACTGTTCAGCTCGCATTAATTAAAGAACTAAATAATTGTGGGCTGCAATGATCACCATTATATCTTGCTGGCTGCACAGGAAAACCGTTAACAGAGTCATTTGTCATCTAGGAGAGGATTCTGTGGGTGGAGACAGCATTGGAGTCCTGTGGCCAGCCCCCTAACCCTAGTCCTGGCCAGACTGCTCAAGAGAACTTACTGTGGTGATGGAACGTTATGCCATATCCAATACAACATAACCATGTGTGACTGCTGAGCCTTTGAAATGTGGCTGGTGTGATTCAGGAACTAAATTTTTTATTGTATTTCACTTTAATTCATTTCATAGAAATTTAAATGGTCACATGTGGCTCCAGGCTGCCACGGTGGGCAATGCAGGTGTAGGCCTTTTATCTGCCTTCATGGAGGCATCTGCTCTGAGGGCGGGTGCAGCGGAGTGAGGGGGGTGGGGCGCAGGGAGGGGAGAGTGTTTTAAAATTCAAGAAAAACATTAGGTTATCACTCAAGAAAATACTCCCAAAAGCTTCAAATTCCTCCTCCCAGGCTGATGCCTGGCCCCCAACTCAAGATAAATGTGGTTCCCCACACCTCAATGCTCCCTCTTTCCTCCCTGGTCAACTCTGATGTGGCATCTTTAAACCTTACATGATTCTTCACATGTATCCCACTTTACACGTCTATTCATGTATGCTGGGCCTTCTCCATGTGTCTATCTAGAATCCCTATTCACCCCACTCTGCCCTGGTGCATGGTCCAAGAGATCTGTCTTCCATGTTTCCCTTACCCTCTGGCTGCCAGCAGATGAGAGGAGAGACCATTCTGTATACTAACTCCCCACCTCCCGCTGTGTGGCAGGAGTCTGGGTGTCTGCTAAGCGCCCATAGCCAGGGCTTGGTTGAGCAGCCTTCTAGATCAGCCACAGCACTCACAGGTTCACCTCCCTCTCCTGTCATTCCTTCAGGCTATGAGTGGTAGCGGTCTCTTGCATTGCTAGTCACCGATGATCTCACTGCCCCTTGTTGGTTCCCTTAATCCTGACCATAGCACCGGAAATAGGATCTCTATTAAAATCTCTTCAAATAACCCCTTTGAGTATACCACCCATTTCCCACTGGGATCTGATTAGTACATCTTGTCTACCTTACAAAAAAGACGTCGTTCGTATTCCCCAGATTGCCACTGAAAAGATGAGGCACATGTATCTGAAAAGTCATGCCTCCCCAATGTATCACCTCAAACTGAGAAACACAGGTCTTGGATTTACAAACCAGGAGGCACATTCAGCTCATAGATGGTTGGTAGGGCAGCGATGATTGGCACCCATAAGTGCCAATAAATGATTCATTCTTCCTGTCAAAGTCTCTGCTCTTTTTAGGAGCAGTTTTCAATGACTCAATCTGTTGAGTTCCCTTCCGCAGCCCCATCCTACACATACTAATGAATTTTCGTGACTACATGATGAAACAATATGCATAAAATGAGCTGGAATATATGCACCTAGGGACAGAAAGTGCCCTCAGAGAACATTTAAAAAAAAAAAAAAAAACCTATCTTGGCCAGTCTTCTACCTTCACTCAGGTAAGGTTTTATTAACCTTGTTGTGTAAGTGATATAACTCATTCCCAAAGAAGTTCAGAAATGTGCCCAGAGATGACAAACATCTGTTCTCTTTGCAGCCACCCCCTTCCTATGCCACAGCAGACATTCTTAATCAGCCACATTCTCTTACCCATTGGTGAGCCTTCACATTGCCGTTCCCTAGCAGCCAACGCAAACCTGCCAGAGTTGACCCTCAAGACCTGTCTGCTATCCTGGCACTTGCTCAGACTTTACTGGGCACTACACTGTTCTTTAAAAAAAAAAAGTTTTTATTGATTTTAGAGAAAAAAAAAAGGGAGAGAGCGAAACATTGATGTGTGAGAGAAACACTGATCAATTTTGTCCTGTATGCACTTCAACTGGGAACCAAACCCTCAACCTGGGCATGTGCCCTGACCAGAAATCAAACCGGTATTTTTTTGTTGCATGGATGACACTCAACCAACTGGGCTACAAAGGCCAGAGCTACAGTTCTTTTTGAAGGGTTTTCCTATAAAACCAGACAACCTGTGCAGACTATATTTATGCATTCCTTAATACTATTAAGCCTTT